GATGTTTTTCTCATCATTTGCTCTCTAGGGCTTCGTGTGTGGTGTCAGGGACCTTTCCAGCTGCTTAAAATTCTTGAGCATGTCAGCTATATTTACAGCACTGGAATATATTTGTATTGCCAGAAGGTTACTGCATTTAGCTTTAGATGCAATAGGCTGAATCACCGTGTTCCAAAGTCTCTGATGTAGCACAAATGTATAATTAAAATTGCTTGAAAGGAAACATGAAAGAAACAACAAACCCTCCATTCTTAGAGTAATAAAATTAAAAACAGGAAAAGTCTGCACAGACACTTAACATTTGTCTGCAGTGAAAGGCTTTTGTTATTGCTTTCCCCTAAGGGTTTCACATTTCCAGCAAAAGCTGGCTTTGGATTGGCCAGCTCCTGCTGGGAACACTATTATCTGATTGGCTGGGCTGAACACTGCAGCACAGACCAAAAAAGCAAACACTTTAGATAAATGAGCTTCAAAGGAAAAAAATGATGCAACACCACAGTAGAGAGCAGTGAGTAAGTGAGAGGCTGATGGAGTGAGTGAGTGAGAATGTATATGCAGAAACTTTTATCAGGCAGGAATAATCCTAACAATGAGAGAGGCTTGCCTAATGCTTCCTGACTCTGTAAATCAAACACTGGTTTGTTTGCACTAACTAGGCTTGTCAACGTGATGAAAGGTTACTGTCTGCTAAACTGCCTTGTGTTTATTCGCTAAGACCCATGTCACTGAACTGTTTAAAACAGCATTCAAACCTACTCAATATTGTAAGAACTGAATTTGCCCATTGGAAAGTAGGATTAAGCTGTCCTAAAAAACAAGTAGTTAATCATTAGTCATAATATGTGGTAGAGGGTACCATTTTATAAATAATAGCGAAGCTGCAGCGGATACCTCAAAATGCAAAAACCACTCAAATCTCTGTTATTATATCTAGGTAACAGACAAGCCGAAGCAGATACCTCAAAATGCAAAAACCACCCAGATCTCTGTTATTATTTCTAGATGCTTTATTCAAGTAGCAATATCACACTGTGATTCATAAGCAAATACAAGTAAATGAAGGTAGTTTTATTTTCAAGGAGAAGGGAA